TGAGGGATGTTGAGCATTTTTTCATATGCCTTTTGGCTATTTGTATGTCATCTTCTGTGAGTGTTCTTTTCAACTCCTTCTCCAATCTTTTAATAGGGTTCATCATCTTTTTTCCAAACAGCTTCTTTAGTTCCTTATGTATTCTGGTCATCAATCTCTTATCTGATGCATAGTTTACAAAAATATTTTCCCACTCTGAGGGCTGTCTATTCACACTAATTACTGTGTCTTTTGCCATGCAGAAACTTGTTAGTCTGATGTAATCCCACTTGTCTATTTTGGGGATTATCGATTATCAACTGTGCTTTGGGGGGTCTTATGATTATTTCTTTTTTTTTTTAAGAGAGGTTTTTTTTGTTTGCTTGTTTGTTTGTTTGTTTGTTTTGCTATAGGACATGTGTGCTCACCAGAGAGACAGAGAAAGACAGAGAGACAGAGAGACATCCCCATGGGGATGGCCACACTGCAGTCCCTTCTCCTCCATTCTCATCTCAGGATTTTGGGCACGCACACAAGCCTGGTGTGAGTTTAGGCTGCCAGGTCTGGGACTCAAACTGCGGTCAACTATGTGGAAGTCCAGCAACATAACCATTACACCATCTGCTGGTGCTAGGTGTAATTATTTTAATGTCTCTGTCTTCATTATAGGTACCACAGTTCGTTGTCTGTTCTCCATTGTTCTTCTTAGATTTTATCGTATTTTCTTGTTTCCTCATATGCCTTGGTATTTTTGATTTTGTACCAGACATTGTATATGAAAATTGCTAAGGGAAATTGAAGACTAGATATTTTCATTTTCTAGGCATTGAAGGGTAAAATTATGGGTTACCTTAACTGAATTATATGTTGAGATCATTTAAAGCTAAGTTTTGTTTCTTCTATGTTGGATTATTACTTGGTTATGTGTTATTATTTTTACTTTCTTTTTTTGTTAGAGTGCTGATTATTAATAATGGGGCCACATGTAACCTCTCAAATTGAATTCCATTCACGGAAACATTTGATTCTAGATTTAAGATGCATAGCTCATTACTGCCCACTGGGGAGTAACTCTTATGGATTTGGCATAATCACAATGCTAATAAACTAAAATGCCTATTTTTAATAAAAAATTATTTGTATCACATTTTAAAATACACAGTCTCTTTCATATACCTTATTTGATTTGGTCCTTATAGTAATGCTTTTGGCAGAGAATCTTATTTTTAATATTTGGTAGTAAAAAAATCCGAGGCTTGGCTAGATTAGAAAGTTAATCCATAGTTACACATTTAGCCAGTAAAAAATAGAACTTGAGCTTTCTCACTCTTCAGACTTGAACATATTATATTATATAAAAGTCTTCTGAACCTCAGCTCCCTCAGTTTCCAAAAGGGGAAACCATAACCCATCACCTAGGGACACTATAAAATTAAATGATATGAAAAACTCTTGTGATGCGAAAGCATTCATATGGTAATAGTTACTTTTGGGCCTGGGTCAGATTAGCGTAAACTAAAGAGAAACCTTCAGGATGCTTGGCACTTCCTGGAGTCTTTCTCAAGATAATTGAAAACAGCACTTACAAATAGGAGGGCTTGGAAGCAAAACTGAGCAACTACCTGACCTTGTCTCCCTGGATCCAGGGAAGTGTTCTGTGGTATATAGAGATGAGATTTAAGATAGACTCCAAAACAGTTCTGCTTCTCGTTTTTGGCAGTGACTACTTATTGACCTAAGAGGAAAAGAGTGTCTGACTCATGCCACTTTGTGATCTGAATGGGTGTTTTCAGCAGAGAAGGACTCTCATCCTACTTAAAATGATGCTTCTTCCTATCTGAGTACCTTTGTGAAGATCCAGGCTTGGGGCCCTGAAAATACAGGACTGACCTTGCATTGAGTGGGAACAGGGCCTTGTTAATCTATTTCTTAGTGCCAGGGTTGTGTGGCTTGGTAAATTAATAAACCATTTAAATACAAGTCTTCATTTTAGCTTAATTCCTTAATCGAAATGCCAAGGATGACAAATAAAAATGTGCTACCCTATCTGAGAGGGAGGGGTAGGGATAGGCAGACAATGTGGAGAAAAGTAGAGATTACTGGTAGAGATTTGTAAATATCACTTATATTAAGTGATATGAGCAGATAATTTTCAAGGTGTTTCTTAGTTAAAAGTCTGTTTTATCCCCAAACATGAAAATAGAGTAAAATGAGCTGGTTTGTGCAATCAGCACCTGGATATTTAATTTGCAAGTATGTACTACTCTGTAACCTGATGACCAGAGTAATATTTTTTTTCCTTTTTCTTTCTTTCTTTTTTTTTTTTTAATTTCTTCTTTTTAAAAATTTTATTTATTTATTTTACTTTCATTCAATGGACATCATCACAGCATACAAAATGTGATTTCCCATCCAGAATACACTGTATTAATCATGCCCGTTATTGTCAACAAATAATTAGTATTTTTAACTAGGAAAGTATTAATCCTCCTCTTTTTTTTTTTTTTTTAGAGGTTTTTGCTATAGGGTGTGTGTGCTCGCCAGAAAGACAGAGAGACAGAAAGTGAAAAATCACTCCCCCAGGGGGGATGGCCACGCTGCAATCCCTTCTCCTCCATTCTCTTCTTGGGATCTTGGGCATGCACACACATGCGCCTGGCGTGGGTTTAAGCCACCAGGTCCGGGACTCAAACTGCAGTTGACTACATGCGAGTCCAGTGACATAGCCATTATGCTAACTGCTGGTCCCCCATTTTTGTTTTTGATTCAAGAAGTGAGGAAGTGTAAGGAGCCCAGTCTTCCTTTATCTTTACATTGTATGAAATTATAAACAGCTGCTGCAGTTTAGCCCAGATGCTTGAAAGCAACAGTGATGTTGACTTGTACAAAGACTGTGTTCTTGTGAATCACAAACTAGCTCTAGAATTTTGTCCTTATTTCTCCTTGGGAGCTGATCTTATTTTGCCCAAAGAGTATTTAACATTGATTAGCAAGCATGGCTTGAGAGTGTTCAACTTGCAGGCTAAATTTATTCTTCCTTCCTCCTTCCCAGCTTCTCATCCTAACGTTCAATATTTATTGAATGCCAATTCTGTTTCAGCCACTGTGGTTGGACGCTAGTTTTAGGGACCCAGTCTTTTTTTTTTTTTTTAAGGTAGCATGGTCAGTTACTTTTAGTCTTTCCATCTTGACTCATAGTCAGGCTTCAGAGCTCCCAGGGGGAAAAAATGTCCCTCGGGATGTCGGGGCTTAGTACGCATGAAGATCTGATAGTCTCCCAACTAAAAATAGCTTTTACTTTTTTCTCTAGCAAATAGTTTATCCTATTTGTAATTCTTACATGAGGTTTAGCTAGCATTTTAAATATGATATTGGGTGATTTGATTGCCACTTCATTTCTAAGACCCATCCGAGCCACAACTTTGCTCTATCTTGCTGATTTATTTTTGACAAAGAACATTTCCTCAGTTTGTGTGGTTGCTTATCTTTGACATTGCTTATTCATAGGCAGCTGCTTATAAAGAAGATTTGAGGAAGGAATATTTTCCTTTGATTTTTATCAGACTCCTTGACTATTGTCATGATGAGGTATGCTCAGCTCCAAGCATTCTGGGACCAGGATGGACAAAATAGTTTATCCTAGAAGGTTCTAGAGGCATGAAGTACCCATAGTATTTCTGCTCCAGCCTAACTCTGAGCCTGACCATTGCCAAGCACCTTGTGCCTATGATCTTATTTAATTCTCACAGTGACTCTCACTTTTTAGACCGTTAAGCTGAGCTTCAGGAAGGTTTATTGGTTTTGGCTAAGGTCATATAGATGATAATGGATTTGAGACCAGGCCTGGTGCTTTCAAATCCACTGTTCTATTGACAGAACAGCTTTTTAAGAAGACTAAGCTTAAATTTTCCAGAGAGGCAAAGAAAACAACGCAAAACAAAAATAGTCCAGACCTGGG